AGAAGCTTGAGAGAGTCCAGAGAAGAGCCACACGCATGATCAGAGGTCAGGAAAACAGACCTTACGACGACAGGCTGAGAGCCATGGGGCTCTTTAGCCTGGAAAAGCGCAGGCTCAGGGGTGACCTGATGGCCACCTATAAGTTTATCAGGGATGACCACCAGGATCTGGGGGAACAATTGTTCACCAGAGCGCCCCAAGGGATGACAAGATCAAATGGTCACAAACTCTGCCGCGACCATTTCAGGTTGGACATAAAGAAGAATTCCTTTACTGTCCAAGCCCCCAAGGTCTGGAACAGACTGCCGTCAGAGGCGGTGCAAGCACTCACTTTGAATGCCTTCAAAAGACATTTGGATGTTTATCTTGCTGGGATCCTATGATCCCTGCTGACTTCCTGCCCCTGGGGCAGGGGGCTGGACTCAATGATCCTCTGGGGTCCCTTCCAGCCCTAATGTCTATGAAATCTATGAAATCTTGAAAGGTCCCTTCCAGCCCCTTACAATCTATGAATCTTAAGCTCTTCTCCTTGCTTGCACCCTACAGCACTCCTTTGCAGTGCCCTCCTTTCTGGGCCCCCTTTCTCAGGCTTCTTCCAAACAAAACCTATCCAGGAGATGCCAGACTATCACCTCCTTCTCCTTTTCTCACCCCTCTGCCCATCCCTCCCAGCCAGCAGTTACCCTTCTGCTGGGCATAAAGAAGCTTCTATGTTACCTTACCCCCTTTCCCCAGAAATCCTTACTGTTGCCTGCCTAGCCCCCTCTGTTTCCTTTGACCAAGCCAAATAATTTCTTAAGCTTGGGCTGTTTATGTGTATCTTTCTTTATAAAGGGCCCTAATGGGTTGCTCCAAGGTGCATGGGAGCTTTCCACATTGCCCCTACCTTAACAAAACTGCATAATCAGAAATTCAAATATGCTTATCATCAGAACAAGCTTGATCTCACTGGGCTCCCAGCTCTATTTGCAGCTGCTCATGCACCTACTCTGGGGCTACAATTTTAGTATACTGCTACAGCAATATATAGGCTGAACATTATGTGCGGATAGGATAGGTGTTGCTAATACAGTATGATTTCCCTGTGGGGACTGAACCTGGGGCACTAGGATTTAATAGCCCAATCCTCTACTGTCTGTGCTGAAGGCTCAACCCTACCAGCTCACAGAGTTAATGATAGACCCACAAACTGCTATTGATCCAACTACTAGGGAGACACAGAGGCACACTGTGGCATTCTGGGTTACGGTATCTACAGCCACTTGTCCCTGAAGTCATGTGAAGACGGCTTTACACTTCCCTGCAAGGGAAGAGGGATACGTTCCTGAAATCACCTAGACACAGCCTATGTGGACACGGGAGGGATGCTGCACCTTTGGTCTGGGCAGCGTTCCCTTTCAGGACCAAACTGCTCAGTAGGGTCTGTTAGGACTACTGCCTTACTACACCTACAGCTTTCTCCGTCAAGGAAGACAGTCATTTTCTCCTGTGCAAAAATAGCTCAGGCTCAGCCCTAGAAACAGCCTGCAAAGATACCATCTTCCCCCCACACCACATAGCCACCACCACATAGCCACTGTCATTTTTCAGACTGAATTGTGGGCGGCTCCCCACAAGCAGCTTTGAGTTCTTTTCCATTGACCCAAGGGGCTTGAGGGGGGGAAGTGAACCCCAATATATAGCTGAGCTTGCCCCTGAAAACAGCTTTTGGTTTGGTGTCTTCCCTAAGGCCACATTTCACCCAACCACACTTATTACCATATACAGAAGAGCGTACCACAAGATGAACATGAGCCTTTAGTGTTTCTGTATTTAGCGTACCTTTTTACACACACTCTTTTTTTGATGTCCAGAGCTGGCACTCATGTCCGATCCATCTCAGGTACCTTGTGTAAAATTACTCTCCAGATCCATTAGTCAAAAAGGCACTTAAAGCATATGGCTAACTTTAATCTCAAGGATTGTCTTACTGATGTCAATGAATTACTCACATGCTTAAGGTTAAGCACATACTTATGTATTTTGATAAACTGGGACTCATATAGGTGGGAGAATCAGAAACCTAAGCTGTTAAATGTCACTTGCTGTGGGCTGATTTCTTTTAAAGCTACAAGGCAAATGTACCCCCACCAGGGTTCATCTACTGGAAAAGCAGATGTAGGTGGATTTTCCTGAGAGCAATTCTGCTAATATCCTTTCTGCATACCAGCTACCAGAACTGGCTACTTGTTGTCACTTCCAACATGCAAGTGGGGAACTTCCCTAGCCCTAAAGCAAACTCAGACGTAGAGCAGGGGAATGGGATGCAAACAAATTGTAGGCTTTTACGTATTTATGGTTTTGTCTTCAAGGGAAGACAAAGCTGCCCATGAAGAATTAATAAAGCACTGGAATTACATAGGGAACTATGAAACTCACTGTTCTCTTTAAAATAATAATGGTATTTTGCATTTATATTGCACAGCTGCTTTCATCCCCAAAGCACTGTACAGCCAACTGAATTATGGGTGGGATTTGAAAAGCCCAATGCATTGCCCTAACTTTGCTCCAGTAGGAAATATTACTAATGAATTCAGTGGGAGTTGAATTAAGGTCTTCTCCTGCATCCTCTTAAAGGATAGTTTCCAAGTACACTTGTCTGCGAAGGCAGATGGAATGCAAATGCCCCTGATGCTTTTTGCTGGGACAGCCCCTCTAGCAGATCTGCAGAAATCACAGCTCGCTGTAGCTCAGTTTTAAATCTCAGAGTACTCTGAGTAGGCTTCAGTGTGATGAGTGGTACAGAGGACTGAGCAGTGCATCCTAGTAGCCTCTGGTGGCTTATCAAAGATTTCTCTGCTGTTTGAATTTTCAGCATGGCTCAATTGGAGCAGCATATGCTGCATAATAAATCACCAGGCCAATTACTTGAGCTGTCAATCTGAATCCTCCACTTAATGCCTGGGAGTCTGTCAAAGTTGAGATGCCTGATTTTATCCTTATTACAGATGCATTGCATTGCCTCTTAATACTTACAACAACACTTCCCCACCCCCAGGGAAAAAAGGATGTTGCAACATATGTCCAGTTAGAACAACGCTCCTTTGTGACCACGTAAAAGCAAACGGAGGGCACTAATCTCTCTGCACTGGAGCGTTACAGCCTTCTTCCTCTCCCTACCGCCTTGCCTCGCTGCGCCTGCCTTCAGTCTATCAGGAGCCATTTGCCCAGCAAGACGCTAGTTAATGTGAATACATTGCCTTGTCTGAAGAATGGAGAGACCAGCTGCGCGGAAGGAATTAGAGAGCAACTGAAAACACTGATGGTGTTGTGTGGCACACCGTATTTATGTTGTTAATGAGCTTTGACACAGCCCCTATGGAGTCTTTTGCAAAGGAAGGAAAGACCCTCCCCACAAGCAGAGCACTCAGGAATGCTTGTTGCTGACATTCAGCAGCAATCTGAGAAGCTCTGAATGGTTTGTGGAGGCCTCACAGTTGGTTTTACACAGCCCTAAAGTCTACATGGTCAGTCCTTTTTTAAACCACTGCAAGCTCATTCATTACTAGCAAACAGAAATAGAAGGGACAGAATCCTACAGCCCATATATAGTATCCAGCAGGTATATTTAGTTGATACAACATCTAGATTTCATTGACATCAAATCAGCAGAGGTAGGGAGGGCTCCACCGGTAGGGGCAGAGACTTCTGCAGCACAACAGCGATTACAGTGCACAAGCGTTTGCTTTTCAAAGTTGAGCTGAGTGGCTTTTTTTATCCCATGTTCAGAGGAAAAGTGCTAACACAAGGTCAGGTATGGTGTGACACACACCCATAGTGAAGACTTATCTACATAGCCTCCATGCCATACCCAGGAGCCCCAGGGTGAAGCTTGCCCTACCCAAGTTTGCTCTTGCTCTGGGCTTGGCAAATCTTAGACCTGAGGCAATCTATCCATCTTCAAGTGTACTTGAGCATGTGTGTTGGGTGCTGCTCTCAGGCCCACTGTTTTGGGCATGCTCATTTATATCTCTGTTCCAGTGCCATGATGCTGAGATGTGGAGGATTAAGAAACCCTAAGTTCAAAACCTGCACAACTTTCCAAGAAAGGGCAAGGCTCAATAGCTTGATGTGGGGGGGAGGGCCTGGTTATGGCCAGCCAAGCATAGATAGGTCTGGTTGAGGTGAGTCTTATATGCATTGAAGGGGGCAGAGTATATCATGTCTGTACCACCCTCACGCCAGCCTCTCAAGCATCTCTCAAGGCTAATGAGGACGTGGCCTTGTGTAATGTTTTAGTCAAAGTAAGCATTGCCCGAAAGCAGGAGCCAAGGTGGAAATGAGTAAGTGCACAAGAAAAGCTGATTTAGTGGCAGGGTGAGTGCTCTAATGCTCATGCCAGGGGCTGTGTGCAGCTGTCTGTTTGTGTGCAGTGTGTTTGAGTGTGCCCTGCCATGGACAGAAACATGCACATCCCTTCCGTGCTCCTCCAGCTGGTGGACTCGTTCCATTGATCTAATTGACCTCACTGTGTTTATTTCAATCCCCTCTGCAGTTTCTAGGTGGGATATGGAGAGTCCAGACTACCAGGAATTGAAATCTGAAATGACGGAGGTTTCAGCTTCCAGCATCTTTCAGGAGAGCTCCTCTCACAGCCATGTGGGCATGGAGGACACAGGCACTGGTACAATAACTGCACTTACTCCTTTTTTCTTTTTCTTGGTTCATATAACTAGGCCTTGTCCTTCTCCAGATACTTTTCTTCCACTCACTCTCTCCTAATATTGTTGCCTCCTCCTATCCTGGGACCACACAGGATCCCATCCTGAGCATAAACGTCCATGCTTCTCTTCTTTATCTGCTTACTGTCTTTAGAGAGTTTCTTGCTTTGCCTCCTTTTCTCTCCAGCTATGATCTATCCTGTTCCCAATTCAACCCCAAGCAATCCTGAGAAGGGCATCACTTCAACTGCCAACAGTGTCCAGACACAGAGCGTTAAATAATTCCATCCATCCCTCTACACTGAGACACTGAGATGTTCATCTCCTTTTTTCATCTGAACTTTGTGACCACCATTGTGGGGTCAATAGAGCAGAAAAGTTTGTGCTGTTTATAAAATTTCCTTCCAAAAATATTAAGTCTCTTCCCTTCTTTCCTCAAAAACTAATTATTTCTGCTCCTTTGCTTATTTTTCCTCTTTCTTCAGGCAGCCTGCATGGATGAGTCGCATAGCCTAGGCAATGCTGGTGTGCTAACTCGCCGCTGTTGCTTAATTTGGGCTTCATTCATTCTAAGCCCCATTCTCTAGCCTAAAGGAAAAAAAAATGCTTAAATGGAAATTAATAAAGATCTTTCCTAATTATTGCTTCTGATTTAAAGTAGATAAATTGAAACTTTCAGGAATTTTAGCCTTTTGCTGAAAACTGGCCATGAATGACAAAGCCAAATAACAGAGGCGTTCTTTTCCCCTGTTCTTCTTTTTTTCCCGGAGCAGGATGTGGAGAACTGGTCTGGGTGGGGGAGCCCGTCACCCTCCGCAAAGCAGAAACAATTGCCGGCAAATACGGTGTGTGGATGAAGGATCCAGAACCTGCTTCCCCATACACCCGCGAGACGACTTGGAGAATTGACACAGTTGGTACAGACATCCGCCAGGTTTTTGAATATGACAACACTGATCAGTTCATGCAGGGTTATCCCTCAAAGGTGCATGTCCTGCCAAGGTCCATGGAAAGCACTGGCGCTGTCATCTACAGGGGGTCCCTGTATTTCCAGAGGCGCAAGTCCAGAATCTTGGCCAAGTATGACTTGAGGAAAGAAACCATCACTGTCCAGAAGGACCTCACCAATGCAGGCTACCACGGGCAGTTCCCCTATTCTTGGGGGGGGTACACTGATATTGACCTGGCTGTTGATGAGATGGGGCTGTGGGCAATCTACAGCACACAGAAGGCCAAAGGGGCCATTGTCCTTTCCACGTTAGACCCAGAGACTCTAGAGATCAGGCAGACCTGGGAGACGAACATACGCAAGCAGTCAGTGGCCAATTCTTTTATGATCTGCGGCACCTTATACACCATCAATAGCTACTCATCCCCTGATGCCATGATCAGCTTTGCCTACAACACAGCCACAAGCACCCGCAAACTGCTGAAAATACACTTTGAGAACCGCTACAAGTACAGTAGCATGGTCGACTACAACCCCACAGAGAGGAAACTCTTCGCTTGGGACAATTTCAACATGGTCACCTATGATATCAGACTCTCCAAGATGTGAGGAGCCTGGGAACATGAAAAGGACACACCATGCTTGTGGCTAACTAAAAGCTGTTTGGCTAGGGCAGTAAGACAAGGCATCAATCTCACACATTTCACTTTTCCTAGTCTTTCACGGGGCTCAGCCTGAACCCCAGACTCAGACAGTGAACCACACTGGGATGAACAAATTGATCAGGATTGGATGCTAGGTGAGGGAGTGTCACATCAGGACTCACACTGGCTCAAAAATAGCAACACAGAGTGGGGGGGGAGGGTGTTTTCATTGAGTTTGAGCATTTGGATGCAACAGGCCATGTTCAGCCCTGGTGTAACTTCCTTCGACTCCTTTGGAGTTACACAATGGTTGAATTTAGACAACATAAAAAAGAATGCAAGCTTTTCAAACATGCACATCTGGAGCATATAATCCATCTGCAAAGGGAAAAAAGCCAGAAGAACAAAAATCTACCTGTTCTCTCTACTGAGAAAGGCTGTGACTCTAGTCAGTTAAACTAAAATGATCACCTCCATCCAGAGCTTTATATAGTTGAGCAATGGTATTATGGGGAAGCATATTACCTAGCTACCAGCTTCACAGAAGGTCTCTTAAATAAATACCCAACAGCCATCATTCAGCCGTAGGCAGGCTGTGCAGCTGTTTATGATATGAAGGAAGCATGTTGTGCAGTCAAAAATGAGCACAAACCAGAGCTGTGTTGACAGTAACAGAATTTTGCTCTGTTGACCAAGACATCCAGATCAGCATAGGCTGCAAAGCTGTATGGCACCTGGTCTTTGTAGGATCAAACCAAGTCCTAAAGGCACTGCTTCCAAACCCAGTGAAACTAATGACACAACTCCCTCTGAGTTCAGAGGAGTCTAGCTGGGCCCAGAGTAGGTTGGGATAGCAGGGGATCTCAGCCCAGGCTAAAAACATTCCAACTTCCTAGGTGGGCCTGGCACTATGGATGGACCACATCTATTTAAAGAAACTGTTTAAGCCCCAAATTATTTCAGGAACTTGAAACCCCCTATAGTTTAGCTATGGGAATCTTCTTTGAGATCACTAAAAGCTCAGCCCAAGTGTTTCCATAGGTAAATTTTGGAATCTGAAAACATGAAAAAAACTGATTTTGGAAGAAAAAAATTGTGTAGGAGGGAAGGGGAGGGAGGGCAGGGGTTGGTCCTCTATTATAGTGACAGATCACTAGAAGGAACAGGGACCTTGGCTGTAATAAGGAGAGGACATGATGCTAATGTCCATGTAAAAATAAAAGCCTTTTCTTGGTAGTAAACAGCATTTCTGTCACTGAGCATGAGAGGGAAGCAGGGACAGAAAGATTCTGATTTCAGATCTCCAGGGACTGAGTATTGAATGGCACTTTTAGCTAATTAATAGAGGTTTAATTCCATGTACACTAGCATGGGAGTAATGGACTGAGCATTAGAGGAGAGAGAGCCCACTGAAAGGCAAGGAAAGACTTTTCCCCAAAGATACGGTTTATGTTCAAGTCACTCGTGCCACTCTCTCCTCAGATGCTGGAGCTCTAAAGAAGCGTTCCCTTGCTTCAAAGAGAGTAGAACTGAGATAGCTTGGTTTCTATATACTCTTCCCCACTCCACAGAAATGGCTTGGCCACTGGCATCTTAAACTGGGAAAAAGAGGTGAGTAAAAAATGCAAAGCTCAGATCCGGTCAGCTAACCTTCCTCTATGTTACGGAGTCATTACATTTAAGGGTTTTGATCCAGGTCCTGTTTCAGAAAGTGGATGATGTCAGGAGGTCAGCATCGCACCATTGCATGCCATTCAATGGCTGCTACAGAGCTGCATAGTCACTTGTTGTCCACATGCCCACAAAAAGTATGACCTGCACAGCCTCCCTAGCATTAAAAACCAAGGTTAAGCAATTTTTATTCATGGTTTTGTCTCCAGAATGTTGCTGTTAGACACAGTTTAGCCCAAAGGTGGCTTACTGTTTGCTAATAACTCTAACTTGAGCCAGTCACCAGAGCGTAGTGCAGTCCAAACCACAGCGAAGTCAAAGGAAAAATCTCTCACTGCCTCTGATGGACAACAGAACAGACTCATGTTTATTCCAGTCTGTGGTTATTACCTTGGAATGGGAAGCATCCTCATATCATGTAACGACTGGCAGTGCTAGCTATCAACTGGATAATTTCACTGATTGCACTGTAATTAGATGCGCACTCTAAGATAGCTATGGCATTAGATTGTAAGCAGCTACCCATGATCTTATTTTTTTAAAACTACCGCCTAAAAAACACCCCCTAACCTCCACATAAATACTGTAGCTGGCTTGATTTTTGTTTTTGAGGAGGAAAAAAAAAAGCACCAAGCAGTGGAGGTTGCATTAAAGCATCCTCCATGAAAGCAAAAGTACAATCTGCTGAAGATTATGTGGAAATAGTCTATGATAATAAGCAATTAAAAAAATCTCAGACAACTCTGTTGTGGTGATTTCTTTGCAGATTTCTTGTTTTAGAGCAAAATGCTAGAGGGAATGCCACGCTATGGGAATACGCAGGTCACCTTTTCATAAGAGTTCAGCACCAAAGATCTGGATTGATTTTTCAGAAGCTCAGTTCTTCTTGAACACAAAAATGATTCATAGGTTGGAAACAAACCCTGTGGGCCAAGACATAAGGAGCTCATCTCAAACAGGAGGTTGAAGGTTGACTATGTCTAACCACTTACACAAGGAGCAAGTGTTTGATGGTAGGGGATTTTTGACCTTGCTGAGACAGGATGAGGTGATTCAGTGACTTTAGGTTGGGTTAACTCTAAGATGCAGTTTCCTAACAGTACTGGTGGTTAAACTTTAAACCAGCTTACCAGGAAAAGCAATGGACTTATCTCTAGGAATCTGTAAGGGGAGTTTTGATAGTTTCCTAAATGATGCACTTAGAGCCAGCACATGGGAGAAATTCTTTGGATTATGTATGTGGAAAGGATCTACATCATTAGTTCATTGTTCACACTCTTCCTTTATCAGCCTGGGGGGAGCACAGAGTTGCTTGTATAGTTCTCTTCATAAAACCCAAAGCTCTGCTTTAAAACAATAATTACCATTACATCCCATGCTTCAGGGCTTTCGTTGGTTACTTGTAGGGATCAGGAGGGATTTTTTCCTCACTGAAGCATAAACTAGACTATGGGTATTTTTTGGACACTATCTTCTGCATGCAGCTAGAGACAAGATATTAAATGAGGCTGGCTGAAATAGCACAGAAAATGCTCTCAGGTGCTAGGCTGTGCCTTATTTGGAGGATCAAACCACGTACTAGAATTTGGGCCAAGAAGAAATCCCTTTTCCTCCCCAGGTCAGACTGAGGGGCCTGGGGAACGGTTCTCTATCCTCTGCAAGAAGGGTCATGGTGTACCTGCTGGGATCATCTGGATCTCTCTCATCTGCTTAATTCCTTGTTTGCAAGGGCCTTAGTTATTAGGAACATCCTGGCTGTACCTCTTCTCTCTCCGTGGTGCACATTTCAGAAATATTTGGCTTAACTAAAGTCTTTGGGTTTGACGCAGTGCATTTGGGTGAGGTTTTATGACCCATAACATACTAGATCATTTACTCAGACCTCTAATGATCCTTTCTGGCCTAAATCTCCATGCAGAGAAGGAGACTGAAATCATCATGTTTGTCAGGATTCAATTTGGCTTGTTCAGCCAATGGTTAAAATCTTGTGCTGACCCCTCCTGCCCCTTGAAGTGAATGGGAACTTTGCCTTTGACTTCAGTGGAGAGAGGATCTCACCAGGATTTCATCCAATTAGCAAGTGTCAATGCTGCAACAACAGATACACATCTTGAGAAGTCCGTGTCCCAAGAATGAAATGAATAAGAGAACTGGAAACAACTTATCGCTTGTAGAGTAAGAGCTGAACAAAATGGGGAAGTTCAGCAGGTAGGATGAGTCAATTAAAAAATAAAATACCTCTGAGTATACACGGTAGAATACAAATTCGTTCAAATCCTAAATTCAGGCTGGTCATCTGTATTCAGATCAGATGAGGGCTTGCAGTATAATTTACATGAAGAAATAACTTATACTGCCAGTTAATCTGTTGACTTTTAATGATTAAAAGACACTATAGAGGTAAAAGAAAAATCCTATTCAGCATTAAAGGCTGAAAAATGTCACAGTAAGGACTCCAGCTGCTTTGTAGCATCCAGTAGCAACAGCTTGGTAGCTTTGGTGGGCCAGGCAGGCCTGGGTGGGACTCCTAGGAGAGATGTCATAAGGAGGCATTGACGGTAGTCAGAGATTTGCATCATGAGTGGATGGCTACATCTTCACTATGGAGCTGGACTCTGCATGCTGCTCCTTTGAGCAGAGTCCCTGTTCTAGCATAGACCAGGGACAAGCAGCCATTATGCTCTCGCTGGCACTGCACTCACCATTCTCATCGAGACATACGGCATCACAGAGAACCATGCTTGTAGCAAGTCGAATCCCTCTACATTTCTTTGCCTGTGCATCCTGGGACAATTTACCTGTTCTTCTGCGTACAAGGAAAGAGATCTTGGGAAGGCTCTGGGGGAGAACTGGAGCACTTCAGTTCTAGCCAGCATCCTCCTGGCAAGCAAGGGGTGAGGGGGCATGGAATTATCCACCAAAATGAAAGAAAGCCTCTCATCTTCAACTCAAGCTCTAGCTGGGAGTCACTAGGTTTTAAAGAGGTACCAACCTTGGGCAAGAAAGCTACTGGGGAATGGGGACTGAGGGGTGTGGGACACATGAGGAAGCTTAGGAGAAAGACTTACATACAAACCTATATCTTGTCTGTGGATCTAACTCAATGTACTGTTTGTTTTTTTTTTTTTTTTTTTTTTTTTTTTTGTTTTGTTT